AGTTCCTTCTTTACTTCCAACCTGTAACCCAGAAGATTTGACCCTAGCTAAGCTCCAGGTGCCTTATACCCTGTCTCATTGTAGTACATGATTTTATAGCACATGTCCTTTTCCTCTAATTGGGTTTGGCTAGTCTCCAGGGATCACCTAGCCCTTGTTGTTAGGTAGAACCTAACTCCCAAATCCTAGTCACGATAGATGGCCACTCTGGTTTCCCACACTAGCTAACTAAGTTGGTATGCTATCCTTCTCTCCAATTGGTAGTCAGATTGGTGGATCCCTCTATTTAAGGATCTTGTTGTCATTCAGTTTTCTAATCTTAGCCATTATTTCTAAATTTAGCCTTCCTGTAGCACTGTTGAAAGTATCGCTACCTCCTTACTCAGATCTTCCCAAACGGATTTTGATCATTCCAATTTCTGCGCTGAAGCTTTTATAACGAGATAGTACAACCAAGATTACAGATTGTAGATCCAACTGATTAATAAATAATTGTTACCTAATGCAGATTTATTTTTCGAAAAATGTGTCTATGAGATTCGAACTCTAGACCTGCCACTTAGTGGAGTAATGACTAGATCACTTCACTAAATCACCACACCCTAGCTTATATTCTTGTTTTTTATATTTTTATATCTTTACTAGTAGTAGATTATAAAAAAATTTTCTATACTAATAGCAAAATTACTTTTTTTGATTAATTCTGTCCCCTGCTATAAACTTTTCTGTTATACTAAGGCTTGTTAATACTTCTATTTTTCAATTCTTATAAAGATTAATAATAAAGCATATTAGAGTTTTTGAGATTCTGATTCTTTGCAGTACAAAGTTTAGCATTTCTAGACTAACTGAGTTGTATACTTTTTTTATTTCTTAAAATATAAGCTAGAGCTCTTTTTTTTTTCTACTTTTTATATAAGTTAGTTTAGAAGATATATTGGTACTGCTATACTCTTTTCTGAAAAGCTTGTAAAGTTTTTACTCTTTAGTATATTCTTTTTTTTTATGGTTTTTGTTAATCTGTTTGTTACAACTTTAATAACTATTTTTTATATAGATTCAAAAAAGAGTATTAGCTATATATTATTTAGTTTGTAATATTAGTCTTCTGTTTTTGATATTGGGTATAATATATCTAGTTTTTATTTCTTTGGCATGCTGCTACTCTTAATATATATCAATACCAGATTGATGAGAGCTTCTCTTGTATATATACTTACATTCTTGATAAGAGAATATATAATACCTGATATATTAGAGATTGGTTTTGTTTTTACTTAATTAAAAGCCTGTTTTTACTTATTATTAATGATATTGTTTATTGTATCTTTGTACCAAATTTTTTCTATGCCTTTTTTTAAAAAATATTAATTTCTTTATCTTGATAGCATCATTTCTGCTTATATTATATTTTTTTATCAGAACTGTTTTTCAAAGTGTTCTTTGACTTCTTTAAGTACTTTGCTTGGCTCTTGTACTAGTTTAGCTTTATTGTTAATTACTTTGATATCTTTGTTTATTTTTACTTGTCTATATAGTTAGTTAAAAAGGCTATTTAGTATTCTTTACTGGTTGAACACAATTAAGCTATATCTCTCCTCTATATTTCTTCTGATTTTGATCTTTTCTAATTTCTTAATTCTTTGCTACCACTTTTTGTATATAATTTTTTTTTAGTTTTTAAGGTTTTCTTTATTTAGCTATTATGTTTTTTGTTTGATATTTGGGTCTATTAATATCTTTGTCTGCTCTAATACTTCTAGAATTTTGTATTCTTCACTTTTGTTTAATGTTTATTTTCTAATTTTTTTAAAACCTCTATTGCAAATTTTAACTATTAGTCTTAGTCTTTACTCTTTTTACTAATTTATATAATTTTTAAGATTTTTTTTTTATTTAAAAAAGTTTTGTTAATAGCTATTATTATGCATCTTTCTATAATTTCCTCAAGGCTTTTTGGTTTTCTTTTTAACTAGAAATTTTTAAATCTTTTTTTGAGATTTTTTTTATACTAACTCTAGTCTTTTTTTAATACTTTACTTATATTAATATTAATTTTTTTATGTTTTTTATATTTTATTTTTGCTATACTAGCTTTTTTAGTTCTAGTTTGGTAGCAATACTTGTTTTTATTAGCTTGTAGTTGCTTTTTGTACAGATATCCATATTGTTTATTTTGGAGTTAACTATATTATATCTTCATTTGCAAAATACCCAAATATAATCAATTCTTGTTTTAGTAGTCTTATTTTAATTATATGTATATCTGTGTACTATTATAGATATTGACTATATCTTTTTCTTTTAAAAAAGCTATAATTTGTTTTTTTTAAATTGGCTTTATACTGAGATTTATTGTAATTACAATATTATTAGTTTTATTCTCTACTATATTATTTGCACTGATATTCAAGTTTTCCAAAACTATAAAGCAATATGGTTTTTTGCTAGACTTGTTTAGTATATTTTTAAGCATGCTAAGTATTTATTTTTGTTTTTTCTTATTGCTTAAAGTAATATATAGTTATATTATTACTATTGTAAAGCTTTTAAAGTTAAATATAAGCTTGAGAAAATATAGATTGTTTTGAATTAGTTAAATAATGTGCTGCTTCTAATGCTTTTTAATTCGAATTCTCATACCAGAGCCTTTTTTTTTGTTTTTTTCTGTATCTGCTTAAAAACTTTTATATATTTTAGCTTTTTAGTTCAAAAATATCTTTTATGTTGCTAATATTTGTTTTATCTAAATCTAAAATATCTATCTTTTTTTCTTTAGCAAATTTCACTATTGTATATAACTTGTTTTTATTATTCTTTAGTTTATTAATATTGTAAAACTTTATATTTAAAAGCTTAAATTGTTTGTATTTATCTTTGCTATTTTTTAGTTTTGTTAGAAGTTTTTTGCCTAAAGTATCTATTTTCAGCTTCTAGTTTTTTCTTTTAATATCTTAGTTTTGTTTTTTGATTTGTCTTTGGCTATCTCTTAAAAGAGTTTATAAAGTTAGTTTCTGTAAATCTTGCTTGTACTATTGCTTTTTGATTTTTGAGCTTGTCAAACCTGTACAAGATTTGTATTAATATATCAAAAATTAAATTTTTGTAATTTGTTTTTATTGTTTTTATATTATATAATTGTAATGCCATTTGTTGGTATTGATAAGTAGTATTTTCTTTATCTTGCTTTGCTCTTGTTTGGTATAAGTTACTAGTATTTGGCTATATGATATTGTTTTTATTGCTTTGTATAAGTTAGTGATTTGAACTGAGAAAAATTTCTTTAATCGGTTAACCAAACTGAATTATTTTATTCAACCGGTTGTCAACCGGCTAAGATTGCCTATCTCTACTTTTCATTTTATCTTCAGAAATTGCTCATCTTTTATTCTCTTTTCGGAACTTTTCAGAACTTTTCGGAATATTTACTCTCTCCTCAACCGATTGCCCAAATTTCAACTAGATGTATTGGGTCAACCGATTAAGAATTTCCTCAATCAGTTAACCAAAATTATTCAGTTCGGGTTGATTAACCGATTATAGGCCAACTGATTCAAATCACTAGTGTAGACTAACAGTTGTTATGGCAGGTTGCATTGGACTCTTAGAGTCTGGTGAGTCTTTATTGGGTTAGAGCATTATGATTGAATAGTTAATTGCTATTGTAGCTTTTTTTTTACACAATCAGTTCACATTAATAAAGGCAGAATCGCTTAATAAAAAAAAAAAAATTCTAAACTTTCAAATAGTTGCTATTTATAAATATATATAGTAATAGTAATACTGTATGTAATAATAATAATAATAATTCTAAAGGTTTGCAAATACTGTATATTGTTCATATATATATCATAATCTTTGCTATTACAAGAAAAAAAAATTCTTAGAAACCCTTATATATATAAAAATATATTTTATTTGTTTAAACAAAGACTATTAAGTTACGGGTTCGGCCGGTTCATTTGAATAGTGTTATCGCTCGGACAACTCCGAAAACTCGGACAACATTGACACTGAATTTAACATCAAATAATATTAAAATTCTATTATAATGTTCTATTATATTTTAATCTATTAAACTTCAGAACTAACTTTTGCATACATATGAGTGCCGCCAAGGGAAAATCTGGAATTGTTAGTTTTCCGAAATTTCATTTTCGAAACAGCTTATAAGAATTTGATATTGTCTGTACTAAAAGCGGAGCTTCCGAAAATACAAGAATTTCAGGTTTTCTCTTGATGGCACTCATTTAAGGTACTTAGGCCGGATAGTTCAAAAAGACCCGAACATAAAGAACATACGTACGTACGTACAACACTGGCCTTTTAGTTTATCCTCGAGTTGTAATATTATAAATATTACTATAATTTTGCGCAATTAATGTAAAATTATTTTTTTGTGTAATTTATATAATTTGTAACTTGAACACATGATATGTACTGTAGTCGAAATGTTCGGTAATTGAAGAATTATAATTCGGATCATATATTAAATCAAATTGTTGGCCAAGCTTTTGTAAAATTAGTGCCTTATACATAAAGTGTGAAAATTATCTGTGATTTTATTAAAGATTACGTAAAACTACATATATATAACTTTTGTAACACAACCATAGTTTATCCGTCATAAGACGAACTCAGGGCTGATTAAACTTGTAACTCAAAGATTTTGTTAATAATATTTCGTTTTAAACAAATAAAATATATAGATAATAATATACTTGCAAGACTTCAAATTGAAATTTTCGTTATAGATTCAGAATTATATAATTTATTGTTATACCGATACCACGAACTTTTTTTCTCATGCATCATACAGTACGAGATACCGATCTGTGTAAATGATCTGCCATCTCACATACTAACATAAATGTTTAGTTTAAAATACCGTTACCATATGAATTTCCCAAATTAGAATCCCGGAGTATTAAATTCTTTAAAAATAAATAAAATCTGTTTAATATTATTAATCACTCTTTCACCAGTTAATTCTGTTAATTATGCGTAATTACATTCCTCCAGAGTGTCTTCAACTTATATTCTATAATATACAAGATGATCGTATATCATTACATTCTTGTCTTTTAGTAAACAGAACTTGGTGTAATAATATAATTGGTATCTTATGGAAACAACCTTTCCATCTATTATATTTTTGTAAAGAAAATACTTCAGTAAAACGAAATTTACAAGCAACTAATTTACTTGAAACTTATATTTCTTGCCTCATTCAACAAAACAAGTCCATTTTAGTGGAAAAATCTATCATATCACAATTTATTAAACCACCAATGTTTAACTATGTACAATATTTAAAATTTCTTGATCTTTATGAGTTATACATGGCTATTTACGATTATAAAGATTCTAAAGTAAATGGAAGATTATTATGTCGTTTCCCACTGACTCCGAAATTTAATAGCATTTCTAGAAGGCGGTTTCCTAATAACCAACAACTGGATAATAAGGTGACTTCTGAAGATTGTGCGTTAGTTTTGAACTTTTTTTTTCGTGAAAATCTACATGACTTGAATTCATCAAGTAATAATGATGAATATCGTTGGCTTGGTATGTTTATGTGTAAATTTTTTTTGGAACATTCTCGATCAATTGACAATCTTTCAATCAGTGCTAGATCTGGACTTAATATTTTAACTTTAGCAAATCAAAATTTTATTTCAAATAGAAAGTATTTAAATGTGGATGATTGTTTAATGATTCCAACTTGTCTGGATTCACATAATTGTTTATCAAAACTTACTAAATTAGTTTGCACTACAAGATATCGAAAGGCTAATTTTTTATCAAATCTCGCAAGCATTTGTCATTGTATAAAGACATTAATCATAAGAGTTGATTGTGATATAGCTTATTCTTGGCCAATTCCTATACTTCCAACTTCTCGAAATGTTGAACATGAATCAGTAGCTAAATTAATTAAATCACAAAGAGGATTGGTTCAGTTTGAATTACAATATTGTTCAACTGGATTAGGAAATATAATGACAACTTTGAAATCTCAAGTAGATACTCTACGTATATTACATTTTACTGGTATTGATTTAAGTTATATGATCCGAATTATAATTCTTCAATTACCGAACATTTCGACTACAGTACATA